GCGCCGGCTGTTTCGCCTCCCAAACGGCTCTTCATGTTACCACAGTTTACCATGGAGCCTCAGTTTCGCCGCTGCGAGGCTCTGGTGCTCGCAGCTCACGCGCGTGCTCCACTTGCATCGCTCATCGCGTCCAAATCGCGCACGTTCCGTGCAACAAGATGAACATATTTGACCGTGATTTAATTGTAATACGCATTTCAAAATGATGCCGAAGTAACAACATACTGATACCGGTTAGTAAAAATCATGAATTAATGCTTTGACAAGTCTGCAGACAGACGGCAGGCGAAAAACCTTTTAAAATGCGTGTTGTCTAAACTGGAGATTGGCTAAGCTAACACACTATATCAGGGGTATTCAACTAAAATTCAACAAGGTCCAGTTAGAGAAAATCTCAGTTGCTTCATGAATTAGTGTGATATATATTGAAGTAGCTGTAGCTTTATCAACGTCTGCATGTAATCAACAACTGACTGCCAATCAAATAAAGAATGTACAATTAAAAAACAACTATTTATTGTCTATTAACATTGAACTCTACAGATATACAGTAAATACTGTGGATATGTGTAATGTTCCTCTCGGGCTGCATTTAAAAATAAAATAGAGAAAATAAATAAAATAGCTTTTGAAAATGTGTGCATCTTAAAAGTGCTTAATTTTAGATAAATAAAATAAAGTGTAGCAGCAGCTTGAGTTTCTCTTTTTCTTTGTTAACCGTTTCACATCATGACTTAACAGTTTCAGACGATTATAGAACAATATCAGTCTTTACACATCATAACAATTGAACAGTTTTAAAGTTTCTCTTTCTTTCCCTCTTATATTGCAGACCCTCACTCACTTTTTTTTAATTCAGTGCGAGAATTGAGCTCGAGCTTGTCCTGCCAGGAGTTTGTAAATCTGGGCTGAAATGGTGTCAGGGCCATTCTCATACACATGCAGGTGCTCATTGGTTACAGTGATGCAAACACAGGTATGGTGAAAAAAGAGAGAACTATTCGAAGCAGAAAAAAAACAGCGTAATATACCATCTGACAAAGGCCTGTGCTATAATGCTTCAATTAACTGGCTATTCTTTATAATATACTCAGATCAATAGACAGAGATGTTAAGTTATAAATCAAGGGTTTTTATATTTACAGCAGGGGTGGGGAACCTTTTTCCTTTACATTTTTACAACATCTTCCGAGGGCCGTACAAATGATTGAACTTAACCTCTGCTTAAAAAAAACTAAAATCACAGCCCATTCATTTGGCCTTTCTTTCATGCTGTGCAAAGAAAAAGCAACCTCTGAAACCAGATATCGTACCATGACTCACACATGCATGCATGTGCACAGTGTGGCATGACCACCAACACAGAAAGATATGGACACAATATGTGTGCAAATGTATTTAGTATCCTATCCATGTGAACATGATTTAAGTGGGGGCGGGGGGGTCCGGGGGCATGCCCCCCCGGGAAGTTTTTTTTTTTAAATATTGAAGTTAAAAGCATCAATCTGGTGCACTTTGAGAGCAACATTAAGAGATCTATGGATACATCTTTCAACACCCATATGAAACAGAACTCTTTCATATGGATATTTTACAAATCACTCCCCTTTTAAACTCTATTCTTATTATTTTTAATAACTTTTTTGTTACTGTCATATAGTATTTTATAGCTGTTTTTCATTTAGTCTCATTAATAACTATAATGATCATATCAAGGTGTGCCTTAACCTCACTGAGCTGAGGTTATTTGAGCCTCTCAGGAGATAGCTCTCTTCCACCTGGTTGTAGAAAAGCTCTTTAAATTCGTTAGCATAGCTAGCTAACCAGATGCTAATAACAACATATCGCCACTGTGCTTACAACTAAAGACACTGCGGCATGTGTACGGCTGGAGCGGCGTTCTGGTGCTCTCCGTCAGCACTCCTTTCAGACGAGACTATACCACGTGAAGACACGTTACGCTCGTGTTGTGTTCAATGAACCTGTCCTTGGCCAGGAAAAACAGGTACTCGCTTGTTTAATTATTTTTGCGGTCTAGATTTCTTCTTCTTTTTTGAAGTGAGAAGTTGTCCGTCAGTCCGACTGACGGACTCCCCCCCCACCCCGCCCACCCCCAAAACGAAAACTCTTCGGTTCTCCACGAATTACACAAGTCACCCAAATCAGCGTTAAAAAAGCGGGAGGCGCCGAAAAATCCCCTATTAATGTATTGATTATAGCTCCGGGTCCGTATAGGTCGGCGTCTGGGTCCGGATCCGGACCGCGGTCCGTCTGTTGCCGACCCCTGCACTATATGCTCCGACGTCCACACCCACAACAACGGCCTATACAGACATAACTAAACCAGCGACTGTTTTCGCCATGACACAGACAGTCTGTGGTTTGTACTAGTGTTGTCACGATACCAACATTTTGGTTTCGATACCAAGTCAAGAATTGCGATTCCGATTCTTTTTCGATACTTTTCTTTAAAAAAGGGAAACAGTCTTAAATGTAATTATTGTGCTTTATTTCACACCAGAACCATAACCATAACACACACTTTTAAACAATGAGAACAATAAACAAAAATAAATGACAATAATTCATATTAAATCAAATTAAGCATCATCTCAAACAACTTTTTTGTTTTATAAAATATAATTGTATTAACATGTAATGGTACAGTAATATAAATAATTATTGACAAAATGTATATTGCAGATTAGCTAAAAAGATAGCCATATTTGACAGTTATCATTGCCATTAATTGCCTCGTCAAACTACGAAAACGTTCGTTTGTCACAAAATAAATTACTCTTGTTTGACTTAGATTTGAGGACATGGGCTTAAGCATGATGTAATGATGTTATCTATCACATTCGCTAACCTGTCTGTCTTTAAATTATTTAAACAGCTCTGGATGCCGGTCGGCGGGTGCTTAGCCAAGTTTGATGTGTTGGCTCCCTTGGTTTGCAGGGATCTAAAACATTTCTCACAGACAGACCTCGTGGTGTCCGTAGGCTTGCCCTCACTGTCAGAGATATGGCTCAAATACTTCCAAATTTCGCTTCTGGCGTCTTTTTTGTTAATAAGCCGAGGCAGTTGCACTCCCACTTGCAGCCATGCTTCTTGTTTTCTCACATGCTCTGGCAGCTAGCGCGTGGCCGAGTGCACGAGAGAGGGGAGGGACTTAGAACGTGCTTGAGAGGGGCGGGACTGCAGGCACGGCTGCAGTGCAGGGAGTGGAAGCAGAGTGCTGAATACTATGGAGGACGGAACATGACTTAAGTATAAATAAATAAATGTATGAAGAAATACAGGAATAAATAAATTACGTACATAAATACAGGAATAAATAAATAAATACGTAAATAAATAAATAAATACAGGAATAAATAAATGACGAAATAAATACAGAAATAAATAAATGTTGAAATGAATACACAAATAAATAAATAAAAGAATAAATGCATAAATAAATATGGAAATAAATACATCAATGTATAAATAAATAAATGTCGAAAATAAAACAGAACACACGTTATTATTATATATCTTTCATTTATTTCTACATTTACGCGACATACATTTATTTATTTATGTATTTATGTGTCCGTATGCTAATGAGGTGGGCGGTCCTAACCTCAGTCTGAAGCAGGATTCGCCAATTGTTGGAGCCAGGCAGAAGCAATAGATTTGTGGCAAGTCACATCATGTCGAGCTGAGCCAAGTCCTCTATACATCGTTCCACACGAAACTGGACATAGTCTTTTGGTTCTCCGTTCTCTAAATGGTCCGCTAATGATCGTAAATGATCTCCAATGGCTCTTAAATCAATATCCATAAATAAACCTTACAACTGTGGATAAACCATGGATGTATAAAGATAAGGGCTAAACAGTAAAGCTCCTGCATTCGAATCAGCGCGGTTATCCAGGCGTTAGTAGTAGAGCCCTCTGCCAGAAATGATCACACACTCCTGTAACCAATCCTGCTTCAGACTGAGGTTAGGACCGCCCACCTCATTAGCATACGGACACATAAATACATAAATAAATAAATGTATGTTGCGTAAATGTAGAAATAAATGAAAGATATATAATAACGTGTGTTCTGTTTTATTTTCGACTTTTATTTATTTATTTATACATTGATGTATTTATTTCCATATTTATTTATGCATTTATTTATGCATTTATTATTTTATTTATTTGTGTATTCATTTCAACATTTATTTATTTCTGTATTTATTTCGTCATTTATTTATTCCTGTATTTATTTATTCCTGTATTTATTTATTTATTTACGTATTTATTTATTTATTCCTGTATTTCTTCATACATTTATTTATTTATACTTAAGTCATGTTCCGTCCTCCATAGAACACACACTGCTCTTATTAAAACGTCGCTTTCTCACCGGAGTACTTTTCCCCGTCATTCTTAAAGTACCGATACTAATGAAACGGAGGAATCGTACTGTTTTTAACGGCAGGGTATCGCGGTACCTTTCAAGTTTCGGTACACCGTGCAACACTAGTTTGTACTTGTTTAACTTTTGTCTAGTTTCTGAACAAATATGAGGAGATGTGAGCTTGAGTGCTACCAGCTAATGGCTGATGTTGTTTTTCTGAAGATGACGTCACGGCTCCGCCTACACTGCGTTACTATAGATACTACCCCAGTTCCTAAACTGTAATGGAAGTGCAGCATTAAAGTGAGCCGGGCCTAATAAAACCGTACTAAGTCGAGCAAGGCCTGCGGTGGAAATGCGCCAAAAGTATAGCGCAGCATTATGCATTTGTTTACATGCCCACCGGAACCCCGAGGCATTATCAACAGATCAACGCACAATCAACCCATATAGGACATCTCTTTCTCCACATTAAGTGTTAGACATTATAATTGATTATTCTTGTCTGTCACATACTCTTTTGTCTGTCACATACTATTCTTGTCTGTCACATAAGTGGCGCAACTTATTAAAATTATTTTGACCGGACATTTTGACCGGAGAGATTTAGATTTCCCAGTCTTCAGCATATTTTACCGGTCATAGTCCGGTAATTACCGGCCAACGGGAACTCTGCTCCTATGACTGGTTGCAGAATTGAAGGGAACGACTTCCTGGCCTTCCTGACATCCAGGAAAAAGGTGAGATTCTAATCCATTTCAATGCCAAAAGCAAGTTATTGTTTTTAACTTTTTTAATATGATTTTGTTGGGGAATTTCTGTTTTATTGGACGGTAGAGATCTACTGGAAACAGTGGAGATGATATGCAGCAAAAGGCCCAGACGGATGGTTGCTGCTCCGTGTGGAACGTGTTCTATCAGGTAAAGCACTTTGGTATCCAGTTATTTATGGTATTGAGTTTGAATTTAGCCTTTGGAATGTAATTTCCAACAGTGCATTGTAAAGACTGAAAAAACAGGCTCAGGTTAAAGCTTGACATTATTTGGTCTTTTACTTAAGAAGATGTTTGTCCTCCTGAGTTGTCTTATTTCCTTATCTTTCTTTCAGGTGTAACATCTACCAATGATTGTACATGACATATACCTCCTCCACCTCTTTGCTGTCCTACTAGTCAACCCTTCTGATCAGAGCCTTTCCTAAATAGTGGTAAGTTGTTTTACAGTTCAGTGTACGTTCATTTAGCAACTTGCTTTACTGCTGTTGAATAAATCCTATATTGCTACTGATTTTATTAAAACTGTGATTTGCAATCTGCTCATTGATGTCATCAAGAGCCATTGAGTCTACCTTTTTTAGTCGGCCTCATAGAATGTTTATAATTTCTTTGTCTTTTAATATTCCTATTATAATTAACTTTTTTATTATTGATATTGTTTTGTTCTTTATTTTTCTTGTGAGAATCACTTTGCAATTGTGCTATATAAATAGTTATACTAATATTATTGTTGTTACCATCATTACTATTATTAATAATGTTTTCTTTGTTTTCTTTATTCATCACTGTAGAAAGGATCATGCCAGCCCACATCAAACACCTGATCAAGAACTTGTGAATCTTCAGGCAGAAAAGATCAACCGATATGGCTTTTTCAAGGCCGATACCGATTATTAGTAATCAAGGAGACCAATAACCGATATTTGGAACCGATATACATTTGCAGTAAAATCAGAATATCTTGGTGTCAAAATGTAGAATAACACAAACTCCAACACAACTCAACACAACTTCTTTGAAATGCATTTAAGCATATATTATGTTTAATGAACTTTTAAACATCTTACAACTGGTTTCCTCTCTGTGCCCTTTTCTTTAGTGCAGCCATCTCCAATGAGTTAGAGAGAGACAAGAAGTGGGGCTGCAGGCTGACATGCTTAACTAACAATAATGCTTCATTTATTATATCAAAACAATGCCTGTGGTCCACTGGAGAAACCAGCTACCTACTGGGAATCTGGTCTTCCGAAGAGGTACAGAGGAAGCTGGAGCACAATCGGCCATTGTTGTTGTTGTCGGTGTCAGCTGTGAGGGGTTTCCGCGCGGTTTGGCTTTATGAAGCAGGCACGCAAACGGTTATGTCATGACGCAAACGATGACGCAATGACGCAGCACCAGTCGGACTCTGGGCAGTGTGAAAAGAGCCTGAGCTAAACCGAAGAAGCGGTTCTGAACCTGAAAAGCTCTAGCATGGAGCTTGAACCGGAGTTGCGTTGGTGTGAATGAAGTATCAGAGGTCAAGGAATAGACGATAGGGTTAGACGTTAGGAGCTGATTTTTGAATTATCCGACCGCAACATTAGTTCAGAGAACTTTTATCCCCATTGTTAGTGCCTGCTAGAGAGGTGGGAAAGTACCAATTTCTGATTCGCTGGGCGAATTGCAAACCACGGCCCGTAAAACTCTGAAAAGTTTTTTGAAGCCGCCATTGTATTTACTGGCATTAGCAGCATTAGCATTGGCCCCGCGCACCAAAAGAGAGAGAATAACTTATGGCAACACCAAAAAAAAACATGGGAGCGGTGGAGATGAGGAGGTGTCGGCGTTCTGGCGATTTACTCGGAAGGCTTCAGTTGAAGCTGCTGGGAGTCCCAGCAGCTTCAACTGAAGCCAGTCCCCAACTCCGGGGACTTCGGGTGGCAGTAGGGCAGTAGGGCTGAACGATTAATCGATTTTAAATCGAAATCGCGATTTTAAATGATGTGATTATCAAATCGCAAAGCCTGCGATTATTTTTTAATTAACTTTTTCTTTTTTTACTTCTTGTGGGTCAGTCATCCACACCAATCAGAAGTGCTGTGCTCCACATGTACCAGCCATTGTTAACCAATCAGAAGTGGCCCATGATAGGAGATTGATCCAATAACCTGCCAAGTATTTTTGAAATACTTTTCCAAATGGCTTCCAATGGAGCTTTCCTAGATGGTTTGGTGAAACAAACCATCTGATTCAGGTTAGTAATGCTCCATCACATGTTTCTATGACAGGGTGAATCTTAAACTGAAGCTTGACTTTAAAGCAACCCAACAGAAGTTTCATGTAAGTTTAGTTATTTCACTCGTAGCTCGGGCTGTGGGGTTGCTAGAGACGGGAGCTTGTTGATGCAACCTTCCTAGTCGGAGATATGGCCGCATTTTACAATAAACTTTCGTTGGGTCGATTAAAAACAAATATCGCAAATCGATTCGCAATCGCAATATTTGTCAGAAAAATCGCAATTCGATTTTTTTTCCCAAAATTGTGCAGCCCTAGGTGGCAGTATACGCGATCGGCTCTTAGTTCCATGGGAGAACTAAGTGCTGGGAACTAAGTAGGGCAATGTACTTGGTGTGAAAGCGGCTTATGCCAACCAACTGTAATTTGTAATGTATTTTACCATACTTTAATGGTCAAATTCTGGCAACCACAAATGTCAACGTAAATGTCAAGTTTTCTTTTTACAGTGTACTTATATCTGTATATTTCTTTTCAGTTTGCTTCAAGACTTGGGTTCAACCGACAGAAATGCAGGCCAGATTGGGAAAGGCTGGACGCTACACAACGGGAAACATTATGGACATGAACAAGGAAAAACAAAAAACACTTTCTTTGTTGCCTTTTTCTTATCATACATAGTGTTACTGTTTTTGTTACCATTTAAATATTGAATTATATTTATTACTTTTATTTTAAATCAAATGCACCTGTTTTAGATGTATTTTGATGTGTAGGTTGATTTTCAGGTTGGTTGTTATTTGTATAATTATTGTATTGTTACGGTGTATTTTATTATATTAACTAGCTATTTATTAAATTAAAAATACTTTTATGAACACTATACAATGTCTTTATTTTGGTCGATGACACAATGAATCTTTGTAATATATGTATGTTCTCTGGTTTAAATAATCATACAAGTATTTAATCCTGGTAAGCTTCCAGCATGGTATATGTAATACTATTATTAAACATAAACTGGTGATAGATGGATGCTGGTGACCAGCCCAGCATACTATGCTGTTTTTTTTGCACCAGCTAACCCAGCCAACCATTCCAGCCTAATATCGACTGAGTTTTACCAGCTAAGTTTGTCTAAGCTGATTTTTCAGCAACACACACACACACACACACACACACACACACACAATCCAATACTCTCCTCTGTGGAAAAAAGCAGTGGGAGGGAGAGAGCAGATGGACACATACAAACACAGGGACGTCATAAGGATATTGCTTATTTTCCTGTGCGAACACACAACCAGGGTTGGGTTGTAACGGAATACATGTAACGGCGTTACGTAATCAGAATACAAAAATCAAGTAACTGTATTCAGCTCGCGTTACATTTGAAAAACGAGTAATCTGATTACAGTTACTTTCGTAAACCTGAAGTGAATACATTTTGGATTACTTATTGGAATTATTGGTGGAAAGGTTTCCTCACAACATTTAATATTCATTACTAAAGGTACAGCCGAATCATCACAGCCCACAAAACCTATTACCGCCGCAGATGGACCAAAAAAGCGTTTGAAAAAAAATCGCGGGTCCGCTCAGTGAAACAATAACAACGAAACATGGAGGAACACAAGTCTGCGTTTAAATCGCGTGTGTGTGGTTAAAACACATCAGCCTGCGGTCGCTCTTTCTTTAGCCTTACTAATGATTATTTCTGAAGGTAAACACAGTGAAGGCGGTGCGTGAAAGGCACGTGCTCGTCTTCTCAGAGGCTGAGTTAACCCTCCCGCTGCCTCCTGGTGCTGCAGAGATTTCATGAAGTGAAGGAGGTGTTCCTTTTATAAAACAGCTGCGGGCAGCAGATACTGTGAGTGTCACGGACATGAATTCATAGATCAAGGCAGACTGGTGCACACACTCTCCTGTTTTGCCAATCCGGTGCTTAAACAAATATAGCTCTACACCCCTGGCCGTAATGTCCTTAAAATGAAGTCCGAGTTTGACATTTTAATTAATGTCCTGCCAACACTGGCAGGACAGAAGGCGACACGCTCGTTCTAAACCGTGTCCCTCACTCCTCACATCCCAAACTGCATCCCCAAAAAGTTAATTATGTTGTTACATCGTTTCAGATGTTGTGTTTCAGTTGTGCTCTTGATAAGCCATTAAAACAGTAAAAACACATTCCTTTTGCTTTTTGTGTCTCCTGTACACCAAAACATACCCATCTGTGATGGAAAAAGAAAGTAATCCAAAAGTAATCTAAAAGTAATCTGATTACGTTACTTTTTTAAGACACGTAACTGTAACTGTATTCGGATTACTTTCAGAGCCATGTAATCAGTAATCAGTAACTGATTACATTTACAAAGTAACCCTCCCAACCCTGCACACAACACAGTGAGAAAATAAATGTTCCTGTATTTTAACATAAACACAGGCTCCTACTGTTTCTCATTTCAATTAAAATGCGCACACACAAATTTGATTTGATCTCTAGTGGGTTTACTTAATCACACATGGTTCAAGATAGCATGCTGCTACATCCACAATGTTCTCCATTCACTTTCTCTGAATGAGGGGTGTGGCTGCTGAATGCCTCCCCAGCCACTTGGGAGGGCGGTCATGTGACTGGCTGTGGGCGTGGCCTGGGGGAGCAGCAGCAGCAGCAGCAGCAATCGAGCCTTACCAGCTGGAGCCGTGAGTGAGTGTAGGAGAGGAAGAGTGAGAAGAGTGAGAAGAGAAGGAGTGGAAAGGGTTGGGTGAGTGGAGATTTTGATGTTTTGCCGTGTGATATTTTCTGCCTAAAAAGTAGAAGTCTGAATAATTTTGGATATGGAATAAGGAGGGGGGGGAGTGTGGAGAAATGTTTGTTGCTCTGAGGCTGTTGGTTTCAAAGTTAGTTAGCCAGGTGTGTGCGCGTGTGTGCGCGCGCGCGCTGTGTAGAGCATTAAGATTTGAGGCTGAGAGTAAATTGTGTTTTGTCATGAGATCTGTTGCAGGCCTTGGACTTTCTCATTCTTTCATTTTCATTTCCCCTCTTTCCCATTCCCATTGTATAGCCATCAGGGAGAGTTTGGGGTGTCAGCTCTCCCCTCCTCCCCCTTCTCCTCATACACTCACCTCCTCCCCTCTCCCTTTATGTCTCTCTTCCCCCCCTGTGTCTTCAGCTCTAGAGCATGCATGAATAATCAGTATGCTATAATGGCACAGCGTGTTGACCAATCAGAATAGCCCATTACTCTCCAGGGCTCTCTCTCTCTCTAGTCATGTTTTCTCCTTCAGCGTCACATCAGACAGAGTTTTTGGTCTGACTTTGATCTAGTGCAGTGAATTTGCCAGGCACTGATGGAGCAAAGCAGTTTTGATGTGATTTCATTTTGACAATCCCTTGTGTCTGCTCTTCTGAGAGTTTTTGTTCCAAGTTCAAGGAAAGTTGAACAGGTCATATTTTGAGTTTGAGTTTTACTCTTCCACGGGACTTGTAAGAACTCCTCTCTTTCTCCTCTAATTCTTGTCAGTTGCTTCTGGTGGGAAGAAATTAGCTTGTGGTTAGTCACTTGGCTTTAATTTTGTGCCCTAGAGGTTGGAAAAAAAACATGTGAAATACCAGCTATCTATCTTCCATGTTTTTTAGTGCCTCACATGGTCTTCTTTTAACCGGTTTACAGTATGGGGTCTGAATAGTTGCTTTGTTGAAAGCTGCACCCATAAACCCAGTGAAGTGTTAGCTAAAGTTCAGAAATCAGAGATGTTGTTGATGTCCTTGCTTTGCACATACTAGCCACATTGTAACTTCCTATTTGACAAAATGACCTTGC